AATGTACTTGTGATCTCCATTCTTCAAGTTGATGAGAATTCTTCCTTTTCCAGTTACTGGTATAGTTCTATCATCAGCAAATTTCACTTTTGTGCGAAAGGACTCATCAAGATCAGCAAATAGCTCCTTTTTGCCACTCATGTGATTGGTACAACCAGTGTCAAGGAACCATGTGTGAAAGTTTGGTGTTTCACCAATAGCAGTGACCATCAAGAGAGCATGGCTATTGTCAGCATCATCATCTCCTTGTACACAATGAGCCTTTTGAGTATTATCCTTGTATATGCACTCACTGGAATAATGGCCATATTTATGACAATTGTAACATTCAACATTGGATTTGTCATACCTTCCTCTACCACGTCCACTACCACGGCCACGGCCATGGCCTCTTGAATTTTGCTGATAACCAAAGTTTGATTTTCCTTGGTCATTGCCTCCTACTCCACGACCTTTGTTGAAGTAGAAACCACGTCCTCGTCCTCTTCCATGAGAACCACCATGCTTTTGACTGGTTTCACCACCTTGATTACCTTTGATAGAGACTTCGCTTTGGAAGGCTTGCTCAATCGACTTCTTTATCTGCTTCCCATTCATTCTTTGCTCATGTGCTTCTAATGAACCTGACAACTCATCAACAGTCATCTGGGACAAATCATAGGCTTCTTCTATTGCTGCCACAATGTGCTCAAATTTTGGTGTGAGTGTCCGCAAAATTTTCTCCACTTTGGCCTGCTCGCTGTACTCCTCTCCATATACTTTACTTTTGTTTGTCAAAGCAAGAACTCGGTTTATATAAGTCGCAACAGGTTCAGAAAACTCCATTTGTAGGAGCTCATATTAACGTCTTAAGGTTTGGAGCTTTACCTTCTTGACTTTCTCCGCACCTTTGTATGCTGTCATCAGGGTATCCCATGCTTGCTTTGATGTAGCTGCATCTTCAATCTTCTCAAACACTTCATCATTCACCCCTTGATGGATGAAATATAATGCCTTCTTGTCCTTTTTCTTGCTCTCACGGTAGGCATGCTTTTGGGCATCATTAGCATTTTCTGCAATTTCAGCAACTCCATTTTCCACGACACTTAGCAATTTGTGGTAATAAAAAAGCACCCTCATTTGCACACACCACCGGTTGTAATTTTTGCCATCCAAAACAGGAACTGAAATCTGAACAGGACCATTCATTGTGCCTGCTCTGATACCACTGATAGAGAAAAAGAAGGAAATGCAGCAGCAAGAGGAGTTTTAAACTGAAATATTTTTCTGATATGAACTCTTTTTATTTTACTGATAACAGCCTTTATATAGGTAGAAGACATCAACAATACAACCAAATAAATAGCAACTAACTCCTAAAAACAAGGCTACATGGCTAACATGCAGATAGACACGTCCTGCACTAAGTCATAAAGAGTAGCTAATAAACAAATTGGTTCCTAGATAATAGGTGACAGTAAAACAACAATGGGATCAAGATTATCAAACCAACAGTATTTATTAGACTTTGAAAGCTTGTTTAAGACAAGACCCCGAAGAAGAGCATCTCAAGGGGACGCAAGTGATGGTAGACGCTGAAAGGTGTTTAAATCTTAAGTTTTTGTCTGTGCGAAGTGTTGTCTATGTTGTATGTTGTGTGAAACTTGGATGTAGTGTTGTATGAAGATCAAGGTGACCTTCTGGTCTAGCCAAAGGCCTTTTTGTGCCACTGGGAGTGTATTTGATATTGATAGATTTGGAAAGCCCTTTACCTTTTGACTTACAAGGATTATTCTATAAATACTTAACGGTTGTTACTACATATATTCTTGGTGGAGTATTGAATTTGTGATGACTAATAGATACAAAGAGGCTTTCGTTCAACATTCTTGGCTTGGGAGGATAGTAAGTGAAAAGAGGTTGGGAAGTCATCTGGAGCTTCAGCCTCAACCTAAGAGATTGCATTAAAACTTTGTGCCGGCTACTTATGTAAAGTGAGGCGGAAGTGGAGGGTGCAAAACAAAATTACAGAGCTGCTCACCCTTAGCAGCATATAAATATTAGGTTATATAAAATGTAAAGTTACATAAAAGCTCTTAATATAAAACAAAATTACAAAATATGCCTATTTCCTACACTCCCCCTCAAACTGAGGTTGGGAAACCAGTGTCAGTTTGCTTACTAAAAACTTGTGTCGTGCAATTGTCATTGCCTTTGTAAAAATATCTGCAATTTGATGCTCAGAAGCAATATAAGGAAGAGTAATGGCACCTGCAAGATACATATTCCGTATAAAGTGGCAATCCACTTCAATGTGCTTGGTACGCTCACGAAAGACAGGATTGGATGCAATACGAATAGAACTCATATTATCAGCATAAAAAGGTGAAGGAGGAGTAGGAAAAGTAAGTGTCTGTAAAAATCCTCGAAGCCAAGTCAATTCACTACATGATGAAGACATTGCTCGATATTCAGCTTCAGCAGTGGATTTGGACACTGTTTTCTGTTTCTTACATTTCCAAGAAATAAGGGAATCACCAAGAAACACACACCAACCTGTGGTTGAGCGACGTGTATCAGGACAACCTGCCCAATCAGCATCTGCATAAGCTTGCAATTGCATACAAGGATGAGAGGAGAAGAAAAGTCCCCTTGAAATAGTGCCACGAAGATATCGAATTATGCGAAGAACAGCCGTTAGATGTAACCGCCGAGGATCTGCAACAAATTGACTAACCACTTGCACAGCATAAGCAACATCAGGTCTAGTCATAGTAAGATAAAGGAGGCGACCCACAAGTTGACGATAAAAGCTAGGATTATAGAGTTTTTCACCATCCTCCTGCCTAAGCTTGACATTTACTTCCATTGGAGTGTCAGCACACTTATCATTAGATAAATTTGCAAATTGGATCAAATCCAGAACATACTTCCGTTGATTCACCGCATAACCTCGAGAAGATGAGTGAACTTCTAAACCAAGAAAATAAGTCAGTGGCCCCAAATCTTTCATTTGAAAAGAACAAAAAAGTAACTCTTTCAACTTAGCAATACCTTCCTTATTACTATCAGTAATAAGCATATCGTCGACATAAATCAAAAGTAGAGTAACATCTTGCGGAGAGTTATGCATGAACAAGGAATAATCATGAGAACTCTGAACATACCCAGCATCCACAATAACTTGACGGAAGCGTTCAAACCAAGCTTGAGGAGCTTGCTTAAGACCATATAATGATCTCTTTAATTTGCAAACCATGGATTTAGAATGTGAATAACTTGGAGGAGGCTTCATATAAACAGTTTCTTTCAAATTCCCATGCAGAAAAGCATTCTTCACATCCATTTGAGAAATAGGCCACTGATGCATTGCCGAAAGAGCAATAAGTAATCTCACTGTAGTCATTTTAGCCACTGGTGCAAATGTTTCTATATAATCAATTCCATACTCTTGCTTATAACCTTGGGCAACAAGTCTTGCTTTATA